CGCACCACCCTCGCCCTGTGGACAGCCAGGCCTATGATAAGTAATACGACATGTATTGTACGTTTATTGATCTATAAGCAGGGAATACGTAATATTATGTATTGTACGTTCATGGATCCTCCATCCCCATCCCTCTCAGGATAGCCTGGTCTTTGATAAAGAATACATAATATTTTACGTTCATGGGTCTTAACGTGTATTGAACGTTAATTGGGCTATAAACACTACATGTTTTGTACGTTCATGGATCTATACATGCATTTAATTGTACGTTCATTGGTCTATAAGGAATACTATATTGTGCGTTCATTGGTCGATGATAAGGAATACATGTATTGTACGTTTATTGGTCTATGATAAGGAATGCTAGAATTATACATTAATCGATTTGCACAATCAATTAATTAAACAGTATTATTTCTGTTAACAAATCTGTGCCATCGTGGTGAAATCAGCCGCTCGTCAAAAAATTGAAATCGAAGAAATCAACATCCCCCCCCCGTTAAGCAATTTTTATTGATTTTTTCTGCTCAACATCTTTTATGTCCTCTGAAAACACATTTCTGTGGACATTTTATAGAAAAGCGTTGGTCAATGGCACACAAAATACATTTGCAGTTTCTGAGGACGTTCAGGCTTTGGGAGTCACCAAACTTTCGCCGCCATTTTCTCGCTAATTTTACCCCGACAACTGGCGAGTCCCACCTTCTTCAATCACAAAACTATCGATTTCTTCTCAGGACAGGTGGGTAATTCATTTAATCAGAACTGCAAGAAAAATGAATAAGCTTAAAACGTATACCAACAACTCCATAATGATACTATACCCAACAATTGACGAGCCCCTGATTGCACCGTGACGTGACACAGATGTATTGTGCGTACGTCTTCGGTTTCGAACATTTTATGAATCAAGATTCCTCTGACCTTCCGAGTAATTCTATCAACAATTCCTACAACGTGCTAGTGACGACGACAGAACCACCATTAGGCGCCTGCCGCCCACACGTCGCCCCAATCTCCCTTGACGCTGTCTCTGAGCTCACGTTTCATCTCACCAGACTTTACAGCAATCCCCCTACCCCAGGCAGCTCTGTACTCGACACTTAACCTCCGATTTTTCCTTCACTCGACTCTGACCTCTTTGACCGGCGTCTGTGCTGTGGTGTAGCGGTTTGGCACTTCGCTGTCGCTCGCAGGAAACCCGAGTTCGATTTTCGAGTGTGGAGAATTTTTTATCGAGCATCCTGACCTTTCTGCTAGAAATTTGTATCCCCCTCATCTCGGTTTGGCCCTGGCAGGCAGGGTCGTAAGCCCGCCTCTTAAATGGTCTAAATTGTGTCGATGGTGGCAAAAAAAAAGATAAAAACCCAACCCGAAAATATAATGTATTTTAAATGCTAGAATCTAAAATCTTCCCAGATTTCCACGAAGCAGTAGCGTGTGCTCTAGTCTGGTTTACAGTATATCAGAGATAGCAAGTGAATGGTTGGCGGGGGCTCTCGTGTAGTTCGCAGTATCTCAGAAATAGTGAGTGGATGGGTGGCGGGTGCTCAGTTATGAGATTCGATCTTGACCTCAGAAATCACAGCCTAAGGCACAGTGACGCACTAATGGACTGACGTCTCGGGGAGTTAGGACTCTGTGCTGGGTCTGCGACAAAGCCTCCCCCCTCATCCCTTCCCCCTCCTCCTTCATCCCTTTGTCCTCCTCTCCCCCTTTCTCCCCTT